TTCATTTTGGGATTAGCTACAGCACATCCTGGGGAGCATTTGATTTAGGTGAGCTCTTAATTTACATACTGCTTTCCCACAGATGAACGTGCTCAAAGTGCCTGACAGTAAACAAAAGCAACAGCATGGCCATTCAGAAAAGATAAGTTGTCAGTGAACATGGTTCAATTATACTCAATAAAGCAAGGACATAATGGATTTATTTATTTATTTATTTGTGTATTTAAAGCTTTTATATACCATCCCATCACCAAGGTCTTGGGATGGTTAATATACTAGAATCTAAGCAAAAAGTATTGTGGGCATGAGGCGTGGTCTGTCCTGAACCCTTGAATATGGCTTACCTTTCTTATGCCTAATTTTTGTGAATGGGGTTTGATGGTTAACTTTTTCTGATCTCACAGTGAAGGGAAATTTTATTTAGCTCATCCTGTTCTTTTATGCTTTAGCATTATTGGTATATTGCCAAGTCTCAGGCCATCTCCCTTGTTCCTCGTTTTTTAAAGAAAACCTTACAAATGATGCCTGTCATGTTAATACAATGGAGTGAAGTCAAGCTCCCGTCTATTTATAGCTTTCTTCAAACCAAGAAAACGAGACAAACTGAAAATATATGCTTAATCATCCCCTAGGAAAAGCTACCATTATATTTTTGGTTACATAAGCACACTAGATTGGAAAATCTGGGATCTGTTCAAGACCTTTTGATCAGGGGAGCTTTGCAAGTGCAGAAAATTAAAAACACAGACAGATGGGGATTACAGCTGAATGTTGGAAGAATGATTTCCTTTAAAAAAATGAGATCCACCGATGTATAAAAAGTATTAACAGCCCAGTTACATAACTTGTGCCAGGGCTCAACTGTATATGGAACAATAATGCGCATAATGCTAAGTAATTGCTATACATTCTGTGTTTGTTTTATGGGTCTAAGATCCTTTTTCACATGCATAAAAGAAATGTGCTTCAAGCCTCTGGAAAGACTGCAGGCCAAAAATCAGTTACTGATACCCTCAAGAATTTGGAGAGTGTAGAAAACAACTCTAATTCACTCTGCAAAAATATATACTGGGCTTAAAGTGGTCCGAGGCCCCTGCTGTGCCCAGCGGTGGCTTTGGGCAGCTGTTATCCCCTCCTTTCGCAAGCTGCTGCTGCTGCTGATGGGAGGAGGGCAGGGCTGCTGCTCAAGGAGCACCTGGCATCAGCAGGAGTGCAGGTGGGCAAGATGGAGATGGGGTCATGTGCTGCACGCCCAGTGTGAGGCACCCTGTCCCTTTCTGCTGTGGCTGTAGGGAATGCACTCCTCTCCCCTTAAAACCCCTGTATGGGTGGGGTCACTTTCCCCTTGCCTCCCCCTAGGAAGGCGGAGGGAAGCCCTTACCCCTTGCAGAGTACGAATCCCTGGAAGCCCCAGGCTGCTTCCAGGTTGCTCAGCCCTCTCCTCCGTTCCCCTGCCTGGCAGTGGGCAGTGGGCAGAAGAGCAGGTAGAGCTGTGGCGGGGGGGGGGGGCACTACAGGGTCCTGCTTCAGCAAATGGGATGGTCTGCCAGGGACCAATACCCAGCTGGCTCTGAATGAGGATGTGATACCTGCATGCCAGAGTCACTGTTGAGACGTTAATGGAAGCCCACAGAGATCTTCGGCACAAGCCGCCTGGCGATGATCTGAAGACACACCATTCAGCTGCCTTGCTGACCTTGGCTTGGCCAGTGCTTGGGTGCAAGACTGCCAGGAGCCCTGCTGGTCCTCTTTGAAATCTCTGTGGACGAAAGCACACAGCTTGAAGCCCTTTCTGGGCTACTGCAGCCACTCGAACACATAGGTTATTCCATCATGTCCACAAAGATTTGGAAGGTGAGGCCATTTCTGCTCTGTACATAAAATACAACATGTGTCAGATATTTTGATACGTTGAAAGAGCAGCAGCAAGAGGGCATTGCTATAACAGTGGCTCTGCAGCAACTAATGAAGCATAATTTGTCTGCCTGGTCTTCACCCCAGGGCAATGTTGTTTCAGTAAGGTAATAAAGTCCACATGTTAGGATTTGCATGCAACTGGTACAGTGAGGTAAATCGAAGACCTCTTCAGACACTGCAGCCACAACAGAAGCCTAGGATGAAACAGACCAGTCTGGCCCAGCCATGGGAGGACCTTCCCTAACGGTAATTTCCAAGTACTGGACGGATGATTTTTACCAAGATGCTGACTGGGAGGGAGGGCTTAAGCATCAGCTCCCTGCATTGCCTGATAATGTTTAAAATCCATTCCATAATTGCTATTCATGCTGCTCACATCATGTGCAATTAGCTCCTGTTAAGAGCTGTTGAAAAGTAACCATGCCTCTGGCTCTACTTTTCCCAATTGGGTGCCCTCCAGATGTGCTGGACTACACATCCTATCATGCCTCAGCGGACTAATTTACTAGGACTGGTGGGAGTCAAGGGCAGCTGGAAGACCACTCTGACCGGGAAAAAGTGGATCCGGATTCCAAGAAGCGCAACTTTTCCATGCCCTGTTGTGTGACAGAGGTGAGGCTTATATAAGGGAATGTGTCAGACGTCCCTCTGCCTGCTTAAACCATGTTGAAAGCCCCGTTCTTTTCTGGGGACTGTGCAGCCATCCTCCTGAGCAACAATTCCTTCCAAAAGGCTTGCTGGCACGACATGGCAATGGGCTGCTGCTGCTGCAGAGGGCTGGCACGGCCACTTGGGCAGATGCAGGTTTCAGAAGGTTTGCAGCAATGCCTGCTTTCCAGGGTGGCTACATGCATCGGCCAGAAAAGGCAATGCATCTATACTCTCTTCCTCCAAAGACAAGTACATTCAGATTGCGGGTGCTAATTTATAGATGCCATTTAGACGTAATTATTCTAATGGAATTACACATGTGGCAAATTTCACCTTGTGGTGTGCTTGCTCCATCTGCAGCTCAGGTGTTTTTGATGGACACCTTCAAGGCCCCTCTTGGCTCTCCTACACAGGACCTGGACTAGAGAGCTGTTCTAGCAGAGAATGCTCATAGTCGAGGCTGTTCTCTGACAGCCCCTCGGAGAGCTCCCCTCCATCCAGAAAGACTGCTAAATTTTACCAGGATTGGGCAGGGAAGAAAAACCATGTTGGAAGAAGCAAAATGGGAATGCCAGAGTTCTCCTTTGTGCAGGTTTTGCAATGTAAGGAGGCTCAACATTTCATGATAAATTGACAGCCATGAGGTGCTATGCAGGTAGCAATCTGCTTTCCTTTTGTCTAAATTATATTATTAAGAAGCATGCATATTGTTTGCAATGCTCCAAAATGCCCTGGATTTTATTCTGGGAATAAAATGTTCCCTACATAAAGAGGCTCTTAGCTTTAAATCAGTGAACATGCACCCAGGAACATCAATTAAAGTTAATAAGATTCTTTAGTATGGCATCAGAAAAGGTGGAATCATTTTAGAACTGTTAAAACTGTTTCTCCTCAGTGCTTATAGCAGCAAGGTAGCTGTAATCACTTGTTTTTCTCTTCCTCCCTTGGAAACAATAAAAATTCACTAAGGGTACCTTTTGAAGCATTCTTAAAATACAGTCACATTAATCTTCAGTGTTATTAATCAGACCTAAAACGATGTACAGTCTTCATTTGTACAATTAATTCTCCCTCATCCTGAACTCTCATTCAAAATCCCTCTTTATTCTGAATATTATCACTATTATCACTTATATACCACTTATATATTTGACACAGATAAATATAATTAAAATGCAATATAAAATGCAAAATAGTAAAACTATAAAAGAACATTTAAAAGAAAAATTTAATTTTAAGCACAGGTTAAATCACAAGACCTGTTAAGCAGTTGCCATAGTGTTCCAATATATTATAACACTAATTAAATGTCCTGTCATAGAGGCACAGAGTCTTCACCTGGCACAGAAGTTACCACCAGGTGGGACTTAATGAAAACCTTGTTTCATCGCTGTGGGGCTGCCACTGAGAAGGCCCTTCTGATTGTTGCCTCCAATCAAGGCTCTCTTGGAGGTGGTAGTTGGAGGCATGCCCCAGATCCCAACTGTAGTGTTTGACTGCAGTTGGGAGAGGTGTTCCTTCAGGTATCATGGTCTCAAGCCTTGTAGGGTTTTATTTGTTTAAACCAGCACCTTGAATTAGTCTCAGGGGCATTTAGGCAGCCAATGCAAGTCGGTCAGAATTAGTCTTAGGTGTTTGGAATGTTTGGTCCCTGTTAGTGATCTGGCTATGGCAATCTGTACAAGTGGCAGCTTCTGGATGGCCTTTCGGGGCAACCTCATGTAGACTGCATTGTAGTAATCTGGATTAGAGATCATCACAATATAGATTGCTGAAATCAGGCTATCCCTGTCCAGACTGGCGGGGGGGGGGGGTAGCTGGGTCACCAGCTGAAGCTAGCAGAAAGCACTCCATGCCTCTGAAGCCACCCTGTCCCAAGAGATAGAGTTGACTCAAGGAGCACTCCCAAGCTATGAACCTGCTCCTTCAAGAGGAGTGTGACCCCATCCAGAACAGGTTCCATTCCCTCCATCTGGTCAGAACTACCCAGCATCTCAGTCTTTCCTAGACTGACCCACAGTTTGTTGTCCAGGCTTCCTCGGGCCCATTGTTGCAGTCAGACACCCATGCGGCACATCCATAGCCTCAGCTGCTGAGGATGAAAAGGAGAAATAACATATCATGTCCTCAGCATACCGATTGCAATGCACTTCAGAACTTGAGATTACCCCATTCAGTGGTGGTGTCATTTAGATGTTAAATAGCATGGAGGACAGGACCAACCCCTAAGGAACTCCATACTGGGGAGTCTAAGGGGCCAAGCGATGTCCCCCATGCACAACCTTCTGCAGGCAGCTGTGCAGTACCCCCTACTTCCAACTCAGCCAGCCAGCCCAAAAGGATACCACAGTCCATGGTACTGAATGCTGCCAAGAGATGCAGGATTACCACACTCCCATCTTCCTTCTGCCACAGGTCATCATACAGGGTGGCCAAGGCTGTCTCCGTGCCAAAACCCAGCCTGAATGCCAACTGAAATGGATCCTGATAATCACTCCCATCCAAGAGTGCCTGGAGCTGGTTGGCCATGGAGATGTTTGCCAGCAACCTGAAATGATTACGATCTTCTGGGTCCAGGGAAGCTTTCTCCAGGAGCCGCCTCACCATTGCCTGTTTCAGGTGGCATGGGACCTTTCCCTTCCATAAAGAGGCATTCATCACCTCCCTGACCCAGCTAGCTGTTCCCTCCCTGCCAGCTCTTATTAGCCAAGAGGGGCAAGAATCCAGTACAGATGTAGTTGCACAAACTTGTCCAAGCACCTTGCACTAATTGGAACTCATCCAAGATAACTTGACCAGGTTATGCTCTGGCTCTCTGGACTGCTTCAACCGCAATAACATTGGAGTCTGAAGTCCTTATGGATGGAAGGGATCTTATCCTGCAAGTGCCTAGCAAATATATTGAAGCACTTTTCAGATGGCACCAAGATGATTGTGGGGCGGCCCCAGATGATCCTAGAGAGCTCTGCTGGATGGCAGGTGAGCTATTGTTCCTTTGCCACTCTTACTGTGTCCAAGTATCTTAGACGGTAGGCACACACCAAGGCTCAGTTGCATTTCGAGTATTCATCCATCTGCACTCAAGCTATCTTGTGTTCTGTTTCATCAGTTTTACCTCCTGGGTATACCATGGATATGGCCTACAGGTGCCCCACAAGGTACTTGTTTGAAATGTGCTCTCTTAGGGGAATGGCACTTCACCATGCAGCTGAGGACAGGTGCCAGGCCAGTCGGGAACGTCTCAAGGACTGCATCCAACCTGGAAGCTGCCACTTCCCCACCTTCAATGTACATGCAGGGAGTTTTCTCCTGCTCTCTTATTCTTACCAGTTCTACCATTTAGTCGGTACAATTGCTGTTTTCTTGCTATGCATCCATGGATGGAGACAAGCCAGTTCCTGCTCAGTACTGGAGCAGCATTTCATTCCCAAGAGATCAGGCGATGCTCCAATAATTTCCCATGTTCCCTCATGAATACATTTCCGTAATTTGCCAAGATTGCCTTCATTTGGAGCTCTGTTCACAAACACACATCCTCTCTTGATGTCAGCAATGCAATCAAGTGGAGATGGCCACACTGTGAATGATCCATCACAGCCACAGTGCTGTCAGCCTGGCACTTTGTAGCATTACCGAATCACTGTGTTCCATCACAAGCTACGTGTGCATTTGCTGTGGGAATGGAGTTGAGCAGAGTCCAAATTCCTTAGTCCTGTGGCCATTCAAAAATGCGTGGAAAGAACAGTGGTGAAAAGAGCCATACTGAAATAAGAAATACTGGATACTGCATTACTTTTCAGTTTGTGTGGGAGCAGGAAATAGAGAATACCCAGATCTGGGGAGGAACTGTGCAACAAAGCAGATTCACCCAGCAACCCCCACCCTGGACATTATTTAATTTTAATTTATTTATTTAAAACATTTCTATCCCATCGTTATCCGAGATGCATCTCAAGATGGCTTACAAACCAGTAACAGCACATTAAAATACAATATAAAAATATACATTAAAATTCCAATTATATCAGCCCTTAAAATACTGGATGAATAAAAGGTTTTGGCTTGGCACTGAAAGGAATAAAGCGTTGGTTTCAGGCACACCTCTCTGGGGAGCAGGTTCCAATAAGGGCCTAGGTCTACACACTGGTGTAGCAGGATAGTAGCCTTTGCAGAAGGAACACGGTTGAGTTGTGTGTGCTCAGAGCAGCCTTCCTTGTTTCATGCTCTGTTTCTTGGTTTTGCACACATTTCAGGAGCTGTGGGCCCATGTCTTGAAAGACAACCTGGAAGATCTGGTGAGAGAGCCTTTTAAACTCTGAAAAGCTTGGATCAGGTAGGGTGAAGTCCACAGACAAAAAGAGGGCCTCATGCGCTCATGTTTAAGCTGGCATGCAATGTCTGCATTAACCCACTGGCTTATAAACATTAAGCAAGAATCGCTATGAATTCTGGCTTATCAGTAACAAGCAAGCTCGTTGGTGCACACTGTTCAGCTGTGGCTTCTCCTGCAGGTGGGAGCGGCTACAGCAGCCAGCCATAGATCAAGCTAAGCATTACTTCCAAACCTAGTCAGTAGTAATTCTGGAAGGCCTTATTGTATGAACTCAGTCACTAGCAAGCATAACATCAGTCACTGCAGGATGTCTCACTTTTCTCTTTTCTTCTACTTTCTTGGACTGTTTGTCTCCAAAGATCTGTGTGGACTATGTTTTTACAACTGGAAAAAAGTGGTCAGAGATTGAGACTCCTCTAAATGATAACTTAGGTTGCTTCCATGCGAGGCCATGCCTTGTTTACTCGCTTTTTGTGTGTGCATGACAGGCTGTGACAATCCAGAGAACCAAGAAGGAGCTGCTCGGTGAGCAAAAGTAAAGAGTTAAGGGTTGGGCGAAGCTAGTCCAGACCTTCAGTCCAGACAAGAGCTGCAGTACTGGCAGAAACCACTCATGGAAGGCAGGCGCTCGGGTGCTGCCAATGCTACTCTTTTAGGGAAAGGGGCTCTGTCCAGGTTGCACACCTGGGCAGGTGAAAAGCAGAGGAACTCAGACTTATTGTCTCTTTCCAGTGAGGAACCACCAGAAAGCTTGTTGCATAGCAGCCCGACAGCTAGGCTTAAGGGGTTCTACCACCTATCTGGTGGGGTGGCCAAATCCAGAGAGGCAAGCTGGAGGTGCAAAGCCAGTGGAGTCCTTGGGACTTCTTGTTTTCCCAAGGAGAAATAAAAAGCAGAAACTTCAAAAGAGGGGAAACCAGAAAAGCAAGAAAAGAAGGACTTGACGTACCTGGAAGTGCCCAAAAGGAAGGGAGCAAACCATATCTTTTTATATGACTGTTCATAATAGCTCTGAAGGGTGGAGGGTTTGGCATGCCCTTGCTTAGGGAGGTGTGGACAAATGATCATCAGGTCGCTGCCATCCTGCTTTATCTTGTCTTTCCCAAACCAGTGAGAATGAACACTAAGTGGGGTGGCAGTGCTGGGGTGGGGGTGGAATGGAAGAATAAATAGCGTTCTTAGGACTATACTTTTGTCATTTTAAAAGGCACGGTTTTAACAAGTACAGTGATCTGTTGGGATTGAGGGGCTGTTGCCATTTGGGATACGTTCACTTCACAGTCTGATGGGTGCCATTTTATCACCCCATGTTGTTTTTTTCCCCAATTTTTGATATTTTAAGTAGCACTAAAACAGTTTCTGGCTAAATATATATATTTAAAAATATTAAAATGCTTCTGCAATATTGCTTGAATAGAGTGTTATATAGTGCTAATTTTAAAAATTATTTAAAAGAACCACCTGCTGCTTTTCTAGTCACTGCAATATGTGGTTTTTTTTTGAGTTAAAACCTGCTTATCTAACATTCCTATGATCTAAACACAACTCCTTAATTTGCGATATAGTGTTTGCTCATTAAAGAATGATTGCCTAGTTTAAAATATTAATCAAACAAAGGATATGTTTTAAATATTGGCCAAAAATATTATCAAGAAATGTCTGCTTAGGTGGATTGTGCTATCCTTGGTCCACGTAGCAATGTCATGCCTGCTGGCACAGGTGGAACCTTGCAGGTTGTACCTGTGTGCAACCTTTATGGGATGGAGGTCAGTTGCAGTTCTCAATATAGTTTACAGCAGGGCGATCATGGTTATTTATTATTTGATTTATATCCCACTCTTCCCCACAAAGATCCCCAGGCAGATTACATATATAAACAATGTTAAAATCATAACAGCACAATCACAACTATATAATAAAATCTAATTAAATGAGCCCAATCAACCATTCAAAAACAGAGTGCTTGCCTGTATTGCAAAGCATAAACAAAGAGAATCACAGAATAGCAGACTGGGAAGGGGCCAAGAAGGGCATCGGGTCCAACCCCCTGCACAGTGCAGGACTCCCAGTTAAACCAGCTGGCTGTCCAGCTGCATCCAGTGTGGGAGAGCCCATAACCACCCTAGGTCATTGGTTCCATTGTCATATAGGTCTTTCACCGGGGCCCACATGTGTAGTACAAGACTTGCAGCTCCCTGTTTGGAAACAGGCGCTGAGATTTTTGGGGTCCAATCCCACGGGATACAAGCACCGTGCAAGATGGAAGCAACTGAAGCTCAATCCAGACAAGACGGAGGTCCTGTTGGTTGGTGGATCGGGCTTCGGAGAGGGTGAATTGAACCTTGTCCTGAATGGGGTTGCACTCCCTCTTAGGGACAAGGTCCGCAGCTTGGGAGTGCTCCTCGACCCAGAGCTTTCACTGGAAGCTCAGGTAACAGCAGTGGCGAGGAGTGCTTTCCTCCAGCTTCGGCTAATTCATCAGCTGCGCCCCTATCTGGAGAATGACTGCCTTGCGACAGTGACACATGCGTTGGTGACTTCCCGTTTGGACTTCTGCAACGCGCTCTACGTGGGGCTACCCTTGAAGACGGTCCGGATACTTCAATTGGTCCAAAATAGAGCTGCCAGGCTGCTGACGGGGACTGGACGTTATGTTCACATGACTCCAGTTCTCCGTCAGCTTCACTGGCTTCCCATTGAAGTCCGGGCCCAATTCAAGGTGTTGGTTATGACCTATAAAGCCCTAAACGGCTTGGGTCCTGGTTACCTGAAGGAGCGCTTACATCCTTATATGCCCAGCCGCCCCCTGAGATCGGCGGGAGAGGCCCTTCTCCGGGAGCCCTCCATGGAAGAAGTTAGGAGGGTGGTTACTCGGAGGAGGGCTTTCTCAGCGGTGGCGCCTAAGTTATGGAATGCGCTCCCCAGAGAGGTCCGCCTGGCGCCGTCGTTATTTGTTTTTCGGCGCCAGGCAAAGACCTTTTTATTTAAGCAGTATTTTAAATGTTAATATTATTGAATTTTATTTGGCCAGGGCGGCTTGTTTTATAGTGTATATTTGTATTTTATTGTATATATTTTAAAATGTTATTTTAAATTTTTTGTTGTAAGCCGCCCCGAGGCTTCGGCGAATGGGGCGGCATAAAAATGTTTTAATAAATATAAATAAATAAATAAATAAATAAATAACATTACTTTAGAGGAGAAAGGCAGAGGCTTCAGCTAGCTCATATCTGAGCGATCTGGTTACATTTCCTCACTGCCCAGACACACTCCTTTACCCCCTTCTCCACACTTTCTGACTTCAGAGGCCAGGCAGCACTGTCCTTTCTGTGCCAGCAGCAAGGGGGTAGGAGTGTGGGTCAGATCTCCGACTCCCCCTTCCACTTTCAGAGCAGGGTCTTTGAACTGTGGGGCGGGGTGGGGGGAGAATCCCCATGGTCCTGTGGGGATAGAGCAATAGCTCCTTGCAAGTCGCAAGTAAACCAGATTCTCTGCTGCTACTCTTGAATATCTGAAGGAGACACTATAATCCACACTGCATAGGCATTGTGCTATAAATCTGCTTGTGGTTCCTTTGTAAAATGTTAGCCCCCAAGTTTACATTGCCATTCGTTCTTAAGCTAATGCTGGGTGTTACTGTTATTAAATATATGTGTCACTTCTCACCAAAAAGTGAGGAAAAATCAACGGACAAGTCTTCTTCTTTCAGAAGTTCATAAGAAGTCCATTATCCAGCGAAGAAAGCCATGGCTGCATAACCATGCTTATTGTGTGGTTTTATTGTGGGCTTTATCTGTGTTTTCTTCTTCTACTATTTTATTCTCCTAATTTAATATCCTTGTTTTATTACTGTTGGGTGGGATAGAAATAAAGAAAAACATAGATAAAACCCCCTTGCCATCCAAGCTGTTGTGGGGGAAATCAGTGCACTTCAGGAGTTCATTGCTAACAAGAAACATAGTCTGAAGCTATTGAAATTGTTAATAAAATTGAAAAAAACACTTGCTTATCACCACAATGCTTTTTTCCCCTCATTGACCTGAACCCTAAAAGACAGAATTGGGAAATTTGACTGAATATTGCCAGTACATTTTCCTTGGATGCTTGCAAAGCCAGAGGTTCCAGAAAAGGGATCTGGAGGGGGACATTTCTGCAGGCACCTGAGCCCATGAGGGCCCTGTGCTTACCTGGCTTTTCAGACATGGTGGGCCTGTGATATACTGGTGCTGCTTAGGAAAGTGAAGATTCACAACTGAGAGACAAGATAGTACTAAGAGATAAGGGGATTTCTTGAAAAAAGAAACTGCATATCCAAAGGAAGGCCGCCTGTGATCAAGTTTCTCTGGTCTTCTATCCACTGAAGAAAAGAAGCCAGAAAGAGAAGGATGCCTCATAAATACAATACTAACGCAGCTCCAAAAAGTAGATTTGAGGATTCCCCCCCCCCCCGTACCCGCCCCACCACCACCACAGTTCAACCCATTCAGCTGGGTCCCCACTTCTTTGTGATGCATTTTCCATGGGCTAGAAGTGCTACTGTGGGGATGAGGCCTGTTTCCATCCAGCTACTATCACAGGCCTAAAGCAGGTTTCACCTTGTATTTCCTGATAGAAGTAATGATATATTTGTGTGTGTGCATGCATGTGTCCAAGTATTCAGGGACAAAATATTTGGAGGAGAACATTTTAACTGCATGGAATAGTGGAATTCGTTTCTGACTTGGTCTCAAAAATAGTTCTGTTGCCATCATTGCCGCCGCCGCCACCACCACCACCACCAGCAGCAGCAGTAGTCTTTTTTCCTTTGTGCCAAGCCTACTCCTGTTTCATCACAGCACTGTAATGAATTGCAGCCTACAAAGCTTGTCATACAATATGCAATGGAAACAGAGGAGAGAGAATCTTTGGGGTAGGTTTCCATAGAAACATTGACGTACTGCCTGGCTAACAGGACATTGAGTTCCTTGAATGAGAGGCAGGTTTTGTGTTTTTGTTTTTTT